AATTCTTAAGATCAATCTGGGAGGAGCAGTTATTCCAGTTTACCTGCCTGCCTTTTGGCTTAAATTTGGCCCTATTTATATTTACAAAGATATTAAAACCCGTGGTAGCTACTTTACGTCAGAAATGGTGGTCCTCGGTATTGTACTTAGATGACTTTTTTATTATCCATGAGGGATATGCGGGCTGTCTAGAGAACGTCGAGTGCACGATCGACCTTCTCATCTCTCTGGGATTCCTAATTAGTTGGAAAAAGAGCGTGTTAGCCCCGAGCGTCACATGCAACTTTCTGGGATTCATAATAGATTTGCAGAAGTATACCCTCGAGCTTCCGCAGCAAAAGAGGGTTAGACTGCTAGAACGAATAAAGAATCTTTTATAAAGCAAGGCTTTCTTAAAAGAAGATTTCGCCACGGTCCTCGGAAAGTTGGTGGCGGTGGCACCAGCGATCGAATACGGGCTTGTGCACATAAAAATGTTAGAGAGGGAAAAAACGTTAGCTTTTTACAGGAATAATTTTGATTTTCCTAAGAAAATGCCGATATGCGAATCCGTTGTGCCAGACCTAACGTGGTGGTCTGAAAAAATTTTAACTTTCACAAATAGCTTCAAGACGTGGGACTTTGCAATCCAGATCTTCACCGACGCTTCAAACTCGTGTTGGGGGGCCACCGATGGCCGTTGGTAGGTTCATGGTTCTTGGGATGGCGACAGTGAGAGGTTGCGCATTAATTTCAAGGAATTATTGGCAGTTAAGCTGGCATTAGATAGCCTCGCGGATGAGCTATCGGGCTGCCAGATCCTATGAAGGGTCGATAATACCACCGCAATAGCGTATATTAACAAGATGGGAGGTGTGCGCTACCCACGATTTAACAAGCTAGCCAGGAAAATCTGGGATGGGGCAGAAGAGAGGAAGATTTTTCTTTTCACGTCACATATTGCCTCTGTGGATACCAAGGCAGCCGATAGACTCTCGAGACTAGGAGAGGATACGGAGTGGGAGTTAAGCGATATACTCTTCCGGGAAATCGTGCATACGTTTGGTTCTCTGGAGGTCGATCTTCTTGCGAGCAGTCATAACGCTAAATGCCGAAAATTTTTTTCGTGGGGACCCGACCGCGAGGCCGCGCAAATTGATGTCTTTACAGTAACCTGGTCGCGGGTGAAGTTTTACGCTTTTCTCCCCTTTAGCATGGTCTTAAGAACTCTGGTCAAAATCAAGAGAGACAGGGCAACAGGTATCATTGTGGTACCCTACTGGCCCAACCAATCCTGGTTTCCTTAATTTATGGAATTGCTAGTCAGTCGCGAGCTTTTCACGGGTCCGTCATCTAATATGCTCTTATCTTTCCATAGGCAGCTCACTTATCCTCAGGCGAGTCATCTGCGTTTAATGGCCGCAATAGTATCCGGAAGTCCTTCCAGATATACTCCTCGCATCGTTCTCGTCGGCGACGATAAGGCAATATGGATCAGCCCTTAAGGGCTGAGATTCCTATTGTAAATCCAACGGCATTAGTTTCTTCTCTCCATGTGCCCGCGCCTTACTCGCGTATTTGTCAGAACAGTATAATAAAGGGGCAGCTTACGGTACTTTGAATTGCATAAGATCAGCCGTTTCTCTAGTCTTGGGTGCGGAGCTGGGCCAGGATCCCTTAGTCGTAAGAATTTAAAGGGGTGTGTTTGCCTTACGCCCTTCGAAGCCTAAGTATAACCAAACCTGAGATGTTGAGGTAGTTCCATCATATCTCAGACCCTTTTTGGCTGGCTCAAGCTAGTCTTAGATAAGAGCAGAATAGACACCACTACATTTTCAGGGCACTCCACGAGGCACGCGTCCTCTTCAGCGGCACTTAGGGCCAGGGTGAGCATAGATACGATTATGAGAACCGCAGGCTGGTCCACAGGATCAGAGGTATTCGCAAAGTTCTATAACAGACCAATCTTGCCGGATAAATCCGAATTCGCCTCTAAGGTGATTAGACATTAAGAATATGATCGCTTATACCTCACATTTGTTGTAATGAAAGAATGTTAAGTTAAGATGTAAAATATAGATTTTATGTTTCGTAATCTCTTCTCTCTCTCTCTAAACAACTACGAGTAATCTTAAGAACGAGGTAAATGAAGTATAATTAATGATCAAACAAACTCACCTGTAAGTGAAGTTTGATCGTAATTATACGAAAAGCCTCGTTCGAAGGGATAACGATCCCTCTCAATCATATTCAACCCGTCCCAAAAAAAAAAAAAAAAAAAAAAACCAAGAGTATACTCGTACGCGATGAAAGAGAGAGTTCAGAGGCTCTTGGGCAGCTGAACACGTATATATATAAATGGGAATACACATCGCAAAGCCCTCCCTCCCTTCTCTCTCACGCGCGCGCGAAAGGGATCGCGTCTCTAAGGTGTATACTTTGCACTTTCGAGATATCTCGATAGTGCGGACCGTGCGTAGGTATGCACACACACACACACATACCCACACACACGAGTGCA